GGAGGGGTTTCGCTCGGGAGGCTTTAGGCAGGCATCTGAAGCGCTCTGTGGGACTGGTTTGTGGCCTGTGTGGAGAGGTCACCAGTCTGGGGCTGTAAGGAGCCCCGGATTTGAGCAATTCGCCCTGAGCGGACGCCCTCAGCTGTGCCCGGGCACGGCCCGGTCCGTCACACAGGCGGTGGAGACGCCCCGAACGCAGGGCACCAGCCTTTTTCCGGCTCTCCCCACAGGGCACGTCTCACCGGGTGGGACCCTGGGGCTCCGTTCGCTGGCCGTGGTTACCTAGGACGTCGGGGTGTTTCATCGGGTGGAGCTGACCGTCTCGGTCCCGGCGAAGAACAGGTTGAGTGTGGTGAGTTCCAGGTTCTTGATGTTAAATTCGCTGGCCGGGTTTTGCTTTTCCTTGCAGGGGAGAAAATCGAAAGATCTGCCGGGGCATTTCCACCGCGTCGCTCAGACCCGCTGCTGCGGTTGCAGGGTTCTCATGCACATGCCTCGGGGGGGTCCCGGGCTCTGTCTGTTCAGACCTCACCCCAGCCCGGCCCCGGCTCCCAGCCCCCCAGCCCCCCACCTTTTCCATCTGGATCAGGAAGCAGTCGATAAAATCCCGGGGGGAACTGGAATCCAGCGTCGCTTGGTTCTGCTTCACTCGCTTCGCGATAAACTTCCGCATGTCTTCCAGGATGTGGTAGATTTTCGTGTGCGGGCCGGGGAAATATTTGAGGAAACTCGAATACATGTCATAGAACTGGAGAGAGAAACGGGACGCACAGAGAACGACTTTTGGTGCATCCCCAGAGCCAGACTGCCAGTCTTGCTGGTGTGAATCCGGAGTCAGTGTGAATCCAGAGTCACGCCAGTGCCAATTCAGTGTGAAACTGGAGTCACGCCCATGTGAATCCCGAGTCACGCCGGTGTGAATCCGGAGTCAAGCCTTTATGAATCTGGAGTCAAGTCAGTGTGACTCTGGAGTACCTTCACTGAAGTCCCTAGAATTACTCTGTATTTGCTCTGGTGCCTCAGCACAGTTCTCTACAGTCACCCACGTGCAGTGAAAATCCCCAGGGTTTTGTCTTGAGCGGAACATACCTGGGACCAGGGCGTGCTGATCTCCCGAAAGCTTTCGTTCATCATCTGCAGCAGCGACAGGAATTCCTTGTCTTCGTAGTCGAAGCGGTTGCCAAAGACGATGGAGCAGATGACGTTGGACACAGCCCGGCTCAAGAAGTAGGTCGGGTCAAACGGTTCCGCTAGCATGGGAGGGAGAAGGAAAGAGACCCTCGGGGTGAGGCCCCATGCTCCGGACTCTTCTCGAGTTCCCACCGCCTCCCACGCCCCGTGCTCCTCACTCTTCTCAAGTTCCCACCGCCTCCCACGCCCCGTGCTCCGGACTCGTCTCGAGTTCCCACCGCCTCCCACGCCCCGTGCTCCGGACTCGTCTCGAGTTCTCACCTCCCACGCCCCGTGCTCCGGACTCGTCTCGAGTTCTCACCTCCCACGCCCCGTGCTCCGGACTCGTCTCGAGTTCTCACCTCCCACGCCCCGTGCTCCGGACTCGTCTCGAGTTCTCACCTCCCACGCCCCGTGCTCCGGACTCGTCTCGAGTTCTCACCTCCCACGCCCCGTGCTCCGGACTCGTCTCGAGTTCTCACCTCCCACGCCCCGTGCTCTGGACTCTTCCCGAGTTCCCACCGCCTCCCACACCCTGTCCTTGTAAATTCTCTCCCCCCCCATTTCAATTGCCAGGGGAGCACGTCCCCCGGCGGGCGGAGCGCCCGGCGCAGTCACCTTTAGTATTTCTAAAGGCCTCCAGCAGGTACTGGGCCTCCTCCCGGATGCGCTCCTCGATGGACCGCTTCCCCATGCCGAAGTTGCGCAGCACGGTGAGGGAGAACCGGCGCAGCTGGCGCCACCGCTCCCCGTTGGCGAAGACCACCCCTGGGGAGGCACGTTTTCAGGCCAGGAAGGAAGAGGGCAACCGAGTCGGGGCAAGGGCTCCCGCAGTAGCTAGGGGGCAGGTCCCCGCC